GCAAATATCATCATTATTCATGAGCACATCAACAACCCTAACATTATCATTCAAAAAAATATAAGATAAATAATAAACCTTGAGATCTTGCCATGAACCAGATGTGGGTAATCCTGAGATGTTGACGCGATAACCGGATTTTCGACTGCTATCTCTGCCACCACTTGACAGACGCCGATCTCGAGGAGCCGGTGCAGGTCTACGATCATAGGCACCACCCGCGTAGATGGGACGACCTCCCGGTCCACGTGGACCGACCCCCCGAGTTAATTCCACACGAATACGACACCCATCCAAATCGTACCCATCTCGTCCACGAATCGCATCTTCCGCATCACTTGAACGAGCACAACATTACCATCGTGACAAGTTAATAACTGATATGATCACTTACAGAGAAACGATAACATATCATATCAACTAAATACCAAACACCAACCGTGGATCCTCGAATTCAAGAAAAGCGAACGGTGCACCGCGACTGTATTTCACATCGATGAAACAAATGCGTCCGTATTTATCGAACAGATCCTCCAAATCTCGCTGCTTTATATTCGACGGTAAATTACCAACGTAAACTCGGCAATCCCTCTTACTGCCCATCATTCCGTGCCGTTTTCAATTGTTATAACTCAAATCCGATTGCTTCAATATCTAAACGCAATCATTATTATCAACATTCAACTCACACAAATACTAAATCCAACAACTAACGAATATTCAATGCATTTTTAATCCAACAACCCGACTGGTAACAAAAAACAACACTCTAATAAACATATTCTCATATTAAACGAGATGAACACGAGTAAAATCAAACACACACGATCAACTGACTAATCACAATAATCATTAAACCCAAATGATAAATTTGAAATGTCAGTCTAAAATTATTACGTGTTAAAGAACAAATCAAATTTCTTACATAATATGAGAACGCAACGCAACACCATTGAACATAATACATTGATTGATTGACGACGCAATACAGTTAAGAGAATAGTGGTTGTGTGGAGAGAAAGGTTTGTTGAGAAATTGAGAAAGAGCATTTGGCATTGATATGAAAATGCAATCAAAGACAAGTGTTTTAAGGACGTATTTTTCCCGTGACGATATGAAACGTATGGAGTTAAGGGTTCACTGAGTCATTGGGATTATGTTGCTATGGAGTTTGAATGGCCTTCTGAAATTGTCACATTCAAATTTTCAACAAAAAAAAAACTGCCCAAGAAAATCTTCTCATACGAATTGTCTCCTACCATCCGACAGGGAGCAGTTTCTTAGGCGGAAGAGCGAGAAGTCGGAAAACAATTCGTCAAAATGAGATCTGGAACAAGAAGTCGGGAAAATCTTAATCAGTCACACGGATAACATTATGAAATGTTACCTTCTATCAGTATCTCCAGTATCTTCCATTCAAACACTCAATTTCAAAGTCAAAATCAGCTAATGAAAACGATATTGGTATGCCTAAAATAGCCCTGGAGAATAGACCTCCACCTCTCTCCTCCTCAAGAATATCAAGTGGAGTTCTTCCGGGACCATGGCCAGCATTTCATTTCCACCCCACTCAAAAATGATGTCGATAAAAAAGTTTGTTCACAAATACTACTACCGGATAGTATGTATATTATAAATGCGATTCATAAAACGCATTCGCACCAATAAACACTCATTTTATAATAGAAAGCAAAAAATTTATTTCAACTGAAGCTAACTGAATGGATTAGTTAAAATAACCTAAAAAATAACAACGTGAATAAGCAAAGCAAAGTGAGATTCCTTCGAATACACGACAAAAGAAACACTGTTAAAATGTAAACAATGACTCAATCCAAAAAAATCCAACCGAAAATGTGATTAATCATAATCAATCACACGGATAACATCACGGAATGTATTCCTTTTATCAGCATCTCTACCATTATTCCATTCAAAAGCTCAATTTCAAAGTCAAATTACTAAAAACAATATTAATCTGCCTGACAATAATAAAAGTAATTACTGAAAAGTGCCGTATTGCTACAATATCCACCAGCGATTAGTACATAAACTGCTAGAATGTTGGAATGAAGTTCTTAAAAAAATTACGACATTAAGTAAGCGTAATAATAAAGGCGAGTTTATCAGTAACAACCACAGCAAAGAGAATGATCATAACCACTAAACACTTCCGTCGAATTCAAATTAATTCAAATTCCGTCGAATTCGACTTTCTCAAAATAACAATGCTAAACGATAAATAATAAAAAGCAACTAACAATTCAAAAGAAAAACAAACTTCAAAAGCAATACATAATAATGAATGCCCTATGATAAATGAATTCACGGTTACATCATTTAACTAAACATAGCAGTTGAATATGAATGCGAATGACCACATCGTATGAACAATCAACCAAATAAATTAATTAATAATACAATTGAAGTCAGAGTAAAAACCGTAAAAATACAATCAAAACAATCAAACAACAAAACATGTGAAATGACCCATTCAAGGTGGTTGTTCATTGTGCATATTGGCGATGATGAATTGTAATTTGCTTGTTAAATCAGTTAATAGTTTATGCTGCTGATCATATTTATTCGACAATTCACTCGCAACTTTTTGCAATTCATCCTCTTTTCGCTCTACACGTTCCTCTCTCTTCGCGTTCTCCTCGAAAAGACGTTCGGTCTTCTTGATTAACTCCTCTTGCCTCTAAATACAGTGAAATTATTCACCATTTATTATTAAACCAAATGAAAGAAGATGCCGAAGTCAAAATCAAAACTGATAAAAACTCATAACAAAGAAATGAAAAAAAAAATCGAAATAATGAAGATAACCTTCAAAAGCGTGACCAATAGTGATGATGTATT